TCTCTCAACACACACACACACATAATTGTTACTGTGAAAGAAAAAAAGGTGTAGGCTCGGTGAATAAGGTTGGATATATTTGTTTCGGTGAATTGGCTGTCCAGTGAATGGTTTTTTCGTAATTTGTTTCTTGAATAGTAATTGCTGTAGTTGCTATATAATGAAATTAACTGATTTCTTCCAATTGCCAATTAGGAATTTAGGGAATGATAAATTACAAATGTTTAGTATAATTTGTTACAAGGTGGACTTAAATTTTCGGGGGCAGCGCCCCTGAATTTTTTACAAGACTTTTTTTGTGACAAAATCAGAAAATAGGGAAAGGAAAAGTAAAAAAAATTAGAGCTTTTTTGCATTAATTTGAATTTTGGGTGGACTAATTAATAAAAATTGGGGCTTTTCTTGCATTAATTTGAATTTTGTGTCGGTTAATTAATAAAAATTGGGGCTTTTCTTGCATTAATTTGGATTTTGGGTGGGCTAACTAATAAAACTTGGATGGGCTAAATAGATATATAGGTATAATATAGGGAAAAAATTATCAATTGAGGGGGGCTTCAGTCCTGCTTGTATGCTTGAATTATTCTCATCACTACATTTCGTCTCTCTGTGTGTGTGTGTGTGTGTGTGTGTGTGTGTGTGTGTGTATATATATATATGTTCCTTTTTTCATGTAATGCATATGCACTAGAAGATTACGATGACGAGATCGAGCCTAAATGTTAAACTTGTTATTATTAGCTTGGAATGGCTAGTGTGCTCGAAATGCTTTGCGGACAAGCCTACGGAGGAAAGCAATACCACATGTTGGGTATATATTTGCAACGTTCTTGGGTAGTATTGTTCTTAAGTTCTATTTTCCTTCTCCCGATTTTTATTTTCGCGGAGCCAATACTAAAGCTCACTGGTCAGCCAGCTTCATTAGCCGAGTTGACCGGTCAAATGGCGATCTGGCTGATTCCTATGCACTTGAGCTTCGTGTTTCAGTTCACTTTGATGAGGTTCTTGCAGTGTCAGTTGAAGACCAATGTCGTTGCATGGGTTTCCGGTCTCGTACTTGTCTTTCACGTTTTACTGAGTTGGGTTTTCGTTTATAAGTTGAGGGTCGGAATTGTCGGGATTGCACTGACTCTTGATTTCTCTTGGTGGATGTCCGTTTTGGGAATGTTTGTATATAGCGTGTGCGGTGGTTGTCGTGATTCTTGGACGGGTTTTTCGAGGGAAGCTTTTGTCGGTCTTTGGGATTTCTTCAAACTATCTCTTGCTTCTGGTGTAATGCTCTCGTACGTCTCGAAACCTCCCAATTCGTTCGGAATTTTCGAGCAACCTTAAAATGTTTGTTTATGTGTTGTGCGTATGTTTTTTTTTAAGGTTGGAGAACTTCTACTATAGAATGTTGGTCGTAGTTTCGGGCATTAAAAGTGCGGAGGTTGCTGTCGATGCCTTGTCTATATGGTCGGTGTTCGATTTCGTTTTTCTTATGCGAGTTTTATGGGTGCAGAAATTAAATATTATAATTTGTGCGACAGCATTACTTTCTACGGATGGGAGTCCATGATTCCGTTGGGACTATTTGCGGCAACGGGGTACGTCTTTTGTAAGTCTCTGTCGTATGAGTTTGAACTTAATTATAATTTTAGTCATTTGCGTAAGTGCGACTTAATTATCTTATTTTTTGCGGTTTCTTTAATGAGCCAAAGATTGCGTTTTTTAAACGATTTGATTGAATGAACTCAGGATTCGTGTAGCGTGCGAAATTGGGGCAGGAAATGTAAATTCGGCAAAGTTTGCGGCTAAAGTTTCGGTGTTGAACTCACTATTGGTTGGCTTTTTATTCTTCTTAATAATCATTGCTTTCCCCGACAAGATTGCTTTGATCTTCACATCGAGTTCGTCTGTTATCTCATTCGTCGAAGAACTAGCATTCTTATTGGCAATAACCATTCTCTTTAACTGCATTCAACCGATTCTTTCAGGTTAGAGAAGCCTATTTATTATATATCACATAGGTGGTGTTTGCAAAAGCTTATTTAAAAAGCAGAAATTAGTGATTGTGAGTTAAGTTGGAATTAAGTGTTTATTTCTAAAAGTTGGGGGTGTTTGCAAATTAGCTGGAAAATCAGCTAAAATATGAAAAGCAGGTACATAAGTGCTTGTAAAATTATAGCTTAAAACAACTGATTTTAAGAGAAGCAAAAGCAAAAGCTTGTTTTGCAAACACCTGAAAACAGATTACGTGTTTATTAAAAAGCTCATAATCTATTTCTAAAAGCATTTGCAAACACTACCTTAATACTTTGAGGAATATAAGATTAATTTGAATATTGGATTTTCAGGGGTAGCAGTTGGATCGGGTTGGCAAGCATCGGTCGCATATATAAACATCGGAAGCTATTATCTTGTTGGAGTGCCTCTTGGGATAATCTTGGGATGGTTGTTTCATTTCGGAATAAAGGTACAACCATTAATCATAATTGATATTTCACTGCTGCAGCTAAAATAACAATTATTGAACTCATCGCATCTTTCTCCATCCATACCGGAAATTTTAGAACTTGAAATATGTATGGCAGGGCATTTGGGCTGGAATGATATGTGGGACGATTATTCAGACATTGATTTTAGGCATCATCACAATTAAAAGTCCGTGGGGAAATGAAGTAAAAATCCGTCGCAAAATCAGCCTGCTCGTAAGCTAAAGACGAATATGCTGCATTTAACTCCCATCGAAGATGAAGCGGAAAGAAATTTGGCAATGCACATGAAAAATTCGTGATGCATTTTCCTGATATTATTGTACTGAATGATTAACTCAGTTGATATTTTGATATTGGTCAGACATGCAAGAGAAGTTTCCTTTTATTGAGACCAAAAAAAATAATTTGCAATACAAAATTAAGAGCAAGACAAATAATCCTCATCAAATATAACTACTAGCAATTCTCCTTATGCGATGCACCAGGGTAGCATTAAAAAAATTAAATATACGATAATCAAATTGTATTAAAAAAAATATATATTACATAATATTAAAATAATTAATTGTGAAAATTTAAAACCAAAATAGATTTGCAAATCTGATTTGTTATATGAATGTCAAAAAATGCTGGAAAATAGGAGATGGAAAAAAAATTAATTAATTTTAAAAAATTACAAAAATGGCATTAATGTTTCTTAAGTTGACCGAGCGTTTCTTCTTTTTATATATTAAAAAATCTAACATAGGAATGAAGGTACATTGTACAATATGAGTAGCTTTAGATTTTCCCACTGTTAAAAGAAACAAATACAGTATTCTTTTCATAATATAAACCTACATTACATATTCTATATCTGTAAACCTAGTACACAAACAAATAAATGTAATTCTTCAAACAAATTTCCAGACAAGATCTTCTTTGAAGCTTTTATACAACCTGTGCAGTGATTTGTTATTTTCTCTTACGCGGAGTAGCTTCATAGGGTGGAAGAGGAACACCAAACACCCAATCGAGAACGTTGAGGTACTTTGATCGGAAAACGTCTCTCTCCATTGCGTAACAGTGCATTATAATTGCTGTTGATACGCTGAAGACAACAACATCAGCTCTTTTCAAGTTTTTCGATTGAGGCAAGTGCCCTACATCACCCATGCACGTGAAGAAGCTCTCGATTGCTCTTGCTAGGCAGTATAGAGATATCTCTATTCTTCTGCTCTTCTTCTCGATCGCTAGAGCTATACCAGTCGGAAACTGTTCAGAAAAAAAAGGCATACATATCACCATAGAGATAAAAACTCTCTCTCTCTCTCTCTCTTGAAAACAAACGAACGCACGACTCTTTAGTTTTATCTATACGAATTCTTCTTTATGCAAGGAAAAATAATAAAGATGATCTTCTTACCGTTCCTATCGCCACCATTGGAATGTTGCATCTCTTCAGAATCCTGAACAGGATGCATGTCCATATCCTAAGCGAAAGTAGAAAAATAATATGATTAATAAATAAAAAAAATCATATCAGAAGAATGACAATAGAAGTCCTAAGCTATGGCTATCCAATAAAATTTTCTTCGTACTATTTGAAACAGCCGGATTGTTTGGAGGTCTCGTATGAAGCTGAGCATGCCTTCTTAGAGCTTTGTAACTTCTTAGGTAAATGGAATCACTTTGCGATCATTTTTTATCGGTTTATCAGATTACAGTACTTAGATATACTAATCCACTTACAATCCGCCATTGTTTAACTTAATTATGGACTGAAGAAATTTGTCTAATAGAAGGATTCCTCTTGAAATTTCAGAGACTTAGTTTCAACTATGGTCATACAAAAGATACATATTTAGATATGTTAACGCCAATCTCGCATTACTTCATATCTACGTAAATAGAATTCAAGGTTAACGAACACACGATCTCTCTTACCAAGCTAGAAATATGTTTCCCCATAGTACAAGAAAGGATTTTTTAAATTTTTTTATTTTTTACAATTTTTTTATTTTTTACTACTTTTCTTTTTTTAAAACGATTTCTTCCTTGTATGCCAATATACACTTTAACTGCTTACCAGGCAGATGAGCAATACATTGAGAGAAACAAGCTTGACCTCGCAGTGCCAAACAGACCTTTCCATAAAATTTTGAACGGACTGAAAAACATCAAACAGAGTTATTAGCAATTTAGTATCGCTATTAGTCAACAGAGGTCACCTCCTAATAGAGGCTCAAGTGCATACAAATTTGAAAAGAATCTATAGCGAGTATTGACCAACAAAAGAAAACGAAATGTGGATACCATTACCGAAACACAAACTAAAGTAGCAAGGGTCCACAACAACCCGGGTACTGGAAAAAAAACCCACTTCATAATACATGATGCAGAAAGGCATATCGAAGGAGGAAAACGGTTCTGTAAACAGATCGTTTAAACTTTAAAGTAACCAACATACTATTTTTTTGTTTCCCATGAAGGAATTGAATAGGGCTGCATGAGTAAACTTAGAATAACTTCGAATGAAGTGAGGTTGGTTCAGTTTTTCATTCCAAAGGTTTATTGGAGCATGAGAAAGAAGTGTTACAAATACTCGGGATTAAAATCTCTACTATTCTAGTTGTGCACCATATATTATACATACTAGGAAATTTATTTATCACGAGTTCATAATAAGATGAATTACCTGTTGAGGAGACCTTTACGATGTACAATCAGAGCTGGAATTAAATAGACTGGAAGATAAACTGGTAGTGCTCTTTTATAGGCTTGAAGAAGAAAGGAAAAAAAATGCGTCCCGCATGATTGATTCCCATGGACAATCTGCATAAAGTCAAAATAATTCTTGTTGTGAAAAATAGCTACTGCGGCAATACATGCAAAAAGCATTTATCGTGGGTAACACTCAGAAAATACAGTTATACTCTGCGGTGATTAGGGAACCTCGTTTCAGAGTTCGTGATTTGTCAACAGTAAACACAAGTAACTCGACTTTTTTCTGACATAATAATGCCAATATCATAATGATTCCTCAAACTAGAGCATTTCTTGAGGTATCTCTCAACTAAGGTAGTTTAGATATACTATGTGACCTTGCCGAGCTTCTATTCCACATCTAAATATGTTTTTAACCATGCCACTGTGCTTCATAATTTTTAATAATTTCTTTTTTAAATAATTTTTCCCCTCTCAACAAATTAACCTATCACTGTTTCGTCCTTCGAGGTAACAAATTTGCAGCTTTGTCGAAATTTAAAAAAGGTCTATTCACACTCCTCTAGAACTCTTACCACTCACCAACAGGATCGTATATATAATTGAGATATAAATTTGAATGTATAAAAGTACATTTAAGAGAATGCAAGAAATGAAATGTTGAGCTTTACCTACCGAGCAAGGAATCTTCATTTGTGGATCAAGTTTAACATCAACACCACTGGACTTGTAGAATTTCTCTATTGCTCCGAGATTTGAGAAAGGCAGTCCAGATGCAATCTCTCTCACGCCGTTCAGGATGACAGCATCCTTTGCCCCGTGTTTATTGAGAAATGACTTATAAGACGGAGGCAAACTATCTTGCTTCAATATGTAAGCTGACCTGAAATAGAATACCCCAAATTCCACTGTAAGAAGTATATTCCTAGAAAATGAATTCACAGACACCCTTTAAGATAAGGCCAAATCTAGTTATTTATAGAATGGAAATATTCTGGATTTGATATGCTTTACTTAACACTTTATAATGCTTTTTCTCGTTGAAGTTGAACCCTCAAACCTGCACGATCGTAAATGCTAAGATTTGAATACTCCGTAATTGATGCTAGTTCAGTTTTCCTACTTTGCTAAGTATTTACATCAAAATCGTCTCTTTATTATTATATTTGCAAGTAAGAACACAAGCTAATTTCAGTATGGAATGATTTGGAAACCGGAAAACCATTTTATGTTTACTATTAAACCTTGTCTGCTGCATATTTCCTAGTTGCATGTTTGACGCACAATAAAACCCATAAAATGGATAAATACATACTGATACCGAAATCGGTAATTTCTGGAAAAACAATACGAAGATTCATCTTGAAGTAGTTTGGGCAATAATTTAACTAACATCAGTATTTGCCTACAGATCCGGTCATCATGAAAACAAGTACTAATATTTCCCGGCACTGTTGAGAAGGAAAAAAAATCTATTGAGAAAGCAAAAGAAAAACCAAAGCTTGATTTGTGTTTCTTAAAATCCGGTTGCATTTAAATAGTTACAGATGTTTAAAGCAAACTAAAATATATGATTAAGTTTGTAGTGAATTGAAAAGAATTCCTCAAGAGTACGATTTCAAGTTTATTTCATTTTCATTATCTTTTGGAGTCAGAATTCTTTTTCTTTTTCAGCTTCTATACGCCGCAATGGAACCAAAATTTGTTGAAGTGAAGTTTTCTGTTCATTTGCCCAGAAAAGCATAACTAAGAGCAAAGTAGCAGCTAAACCTGATTATATCAGAAAGTACAGGCACTAAATCGAAAGAAAGCATGTGTTATTGTTATCTAAAACTGCTACTTTGAAATAAACCTATCGAAGAAGCCACTTTACGTTTCCACGGTGATTAAGAAAACGATCAAGTTACTGAATTTACGAGGCTCAAAAATTGAAATAACATACAAATGACGAGCACGGAAGCAAGGCCTTACAGAATCTGGGAAGAGGAGAGACACATAAGGAAAATATCTCCATGCACCCATGTTAGAGGCTTACATATACGACCGAATCTCTTGCTTTTTATCCCACATCGTGAAGCCAACACAGTCGCACGCATGAAAATGTAAATAGCCAAGCTCGTGTGCTCTGTGTTCAACCCAGTCAGCAGCATCGACGGCCCTGCTATTGCACCAGCCAGCAAAGCCCTCCATTTCGCCGTCCTGTATATTTTATTTAGAATTTAAAAAATAAAAAAAAGGCTGAATATTCGCAGCATCAATACACAAAGTTAGCATGATAAGTAAAAGACGTAATTCACGGAAACAATAATTGAAGCCATGCCTACGGTGACCGCCCCAAGCAGCAATAATTTCGTCAACAGAAACAAATGTTCCCGCGAATGTACCGAGAAATAATCCGTATCTCAGAGTCTCTTTCAAAGCCAAAATCACATCGGCGCTAATTGACGTCATCTCTACTTTCCTGAAAAGAAAATACACGACCCTAACGAATAAATTTCTCAGTAAATATTCACAAGCATATACTTGTTTACGAAACAAAAACCCAAATTTCATGGAAATTCAGCCCTAACAGTGAGATGCAGAAATAATAAAACCTTATTTTTTATCGACTTTCCCGATTTAGTTTCCGTCTAACTTCATGCCCTCAAATTGCAACATTTGCCGTTTTAAATTGACAAAATTACACTAATCATTCAAGTGTATAAAAAAATTGAAAAATACTATAACGAAAGCAGGGAAAAAAATTCAAATTAGAATACAAAATTAGATCACCAGATTACAAAATGAACACTAAAAGCACAAAATTAATTACTTCGATGAAGAGAGCAACCGCCGGCGGCGGAGGCGCGTGAGGAGAGCGAAAATGGCGAGTCCGCCTTTGAGTCCAGCGCCGATAGCGAAGCCCTTAACGGAGGCAGTGTAGACTCGCCATGGCTTATCGTAATCCTGAACTGGATACGATTCGAAGCTGAGGAGGGAGCAGGACGACGACGATGACGGCAGATTCGAGCTCGAAGATCGCCGCCGAGTGCATCCGGCGCAGTTGTTCGAGCCGCACGCGCACTTCTCCTCCGCGGCGATTGAGTGGGGTTTTGTTCCTCCGTCACCCGGCACCGCCATTTGCGGCAGAGTGATTAGCCCTTTGTTCCGTTTGATTGAGAGAGAGAGAGAGAGATGAGAAGTGACTCAGTGAGTAATAGGGATTATCGAGCGGCGAGTGAAGGGCTCACACGTCAGATTGAGCAGTTGATCGTTACTTTTAATGAGGATTGCTAAATACAAACTGTTTTTTACTGAAAACAGACAATTTCAAAATTAGAAAAAACAAAAACAAAGGAAAATTAGCTACAAGTCCCTATTAAGGACCATTATTTGATGGACAATTTGCTATAGCCCCTAAGCAATAGATTGTACTAATAATTTGACACCTGGCACCAGATTGAAATTAAAATTAATGGAACATAAAATTCAATTTTTATAATAACTAGATTTTTGGTGCATGAAATTGAAATAAAATTAATACAAAGTAAAGTTTAATAAAAACGACAAAACTGAAGTTTCAATTCATTTTGATGTTTTGCTATATGCATCGATGATAATCCTCCATCCATAACGTCTTTTACAATATTTATTAATTTAATTTTATGTTTTTGATTCAATATGATTTTATATTTATCTTATCTTAGTTAATGTAGAAGTTTGACGAATTTTCTTCTTTATCACCAACAAGAGGCCTCAGTAAATTTAGTTAAATCAATGATGCCTTTAAATCTCAAGAGTTTATCAGGAGCAACTTTACTTTTATTAATAAGATAAGAACCAAATGTTTTTCTAAACAATTAAATAATTTTTCCATAAAATTAATATTAAGTAAAATGATAATTTTAGTTGGAAAAGATACATAGATTTGGAGCCAAAAAGTATGGATACTTAACGGAATTATTAAACTTGATTATATTAAATATAATAAAACAAAAAAAATTAATTAAATAAATAAATAACAATTATAACTATCAAATGAGCGGAATTTTTTTTCTAGGGTTTACCAGGAGCAACCTTACTTTTATTAATAAGATACGTAGATTTTGGGGTAGAAAATATGAATACTTAATGGATTTATTAAGCATAATTATAATAAATGAAATAAAATAATAAAAATAAATAATTAAATAAATAAATAAATAAATAAATGACAATTATAACTATCAAATGAGCGGAAAAAAAATCCTAAGACTGGTGATCAACCTTATTTTTATTAATAAGATATTGATATTTCAAAATTATAACACATTAGATTTAAATCAAAGTGAAAGCTAAAAAAAAAAAAAAAAAAAAAAAACACTTTAATCTTGTTTAGGTTTCAACTTTATCCACCCACCACATGAACAATCTTGGCATAACAGTAGTGATAGATTAAGGGCGCCAACGGGTATAACTCGATTGGTTCTTGGGTGGTAAGTTGATGTAAGATCTTAGGATCGAGTACTCACAGCCGCAATGTGGGAATTTCAACTTCAACGAAACTTCATTTCCATTTGCAAACCGACGAAACACTACCTCTCCACAAAATCAAACCAGTCCCACTGTTAACCTCTCATTTCCTCTCCTACAACTTGCAAATTCTCCACCTCACACTCTAACACAAACTCCCCCGTCTCATTCACCCTCTCTCTCACCATCTCCTTAAGAGCCTTCCGAAGTCCATCCAAATCCATCTATACCATTCACATATTTATCAAATAATGTCATGTCTAAAGATGTCGTCAAAGTATCCCCGAGCCTCACACTCATCAAATGAGAACTCGTTCTAAAAATAATATTGTGAAACCCAAGGCATATAGTGATGGCACCGTTCTATACCCAATGCCACAATCTTTCCTCGTTACAAATAACGTCCCTGCTTCGCCATCGTGTTATTCTAAAGCTTATAAACATGGTCAATGGCGGCCAGCCATGGACGAGGAATTTACAGCTCTAATGAAAAATGGTACATGGTCTTTAGTTCCAGCAAACCTGGGAATGAATATACAAAATAGGTTTTCAACTCCAAATAAATATCAAACGGTTCTTTGGAACGACGAAAGGCTCGGTTAGTAGCTAAGGGTTATAATAAACAATAATGAATTGATTTCAATGATACTTTCAATCCCGTGATTAAACCTACATCAATTCGCCTGGTGTTAAGTTATGTTGTCTCCAAACGGTGGCCAGTTTATCAGATAGACATCATAAATGCGTTTCTCCATGGGAATTTATCTGATGAGGTATATATGCATCAACCCCTTGGCTATGTGCATCCCAATTTCCCCAATCATATATGTCGGCTCCACAAAGCTCTATACAGGTGGAAGGAAGCTCCACGAGCTTAGTATTAGCGGTTGCAAGAGCACCTGTTATCTCTCGGCTTCGTTAATTCCACCTCCGATGCATCTCTTTCTATTTGGCAAAAAGGTTTGACTATTTTGCTTTTGTTGGTCTATGAAGATGATATATTAATTACTGATTCAAGTACACAAACTATTTCACAACTTATTTCAGATCTCAACATTGAATTTGCTCTGAAAGACTTGGGAAGCTTAAGTTTTTTTCTCGGCATTGAAGTTCACCATGTTAAAGATGGACTTTTTCTTTCAAGCCAATATGTGTACAATTTGCTTCGTTGTACAAAAAAGCTTGAAGCAAAACCAATATCATCACCAATGTCCTCTGCGAATAAATTATCACTCTTATTCGGCGCCCTCTATGAAGATCCTTCAAATTACAGGAGTGTTGTTGGTGGATTACAATACCTTTCATTAATGCGTCCTGATATTTCATTTGCGGTGCATTGTCAATTTATGCACTAGCCTACGAAGGATCATTGGACAACGGTAAAATGGATTCTACGATACGTGACGCTCACTGTACACTATGGTCTACTTATTCGTCCTAACTCTTATACTCGATTATCGATTTACTTAGATGCTGACTAGGGGATTTCCAGATGGTCGAGAGTCCACCTCCGGATTTTACATTTACTTTGGGGATAACCTAATCTCTTGGAGTTCGAAAAACCAACCAACGGTGGCTATATCAAGATATCATACTTGGCATCATTTAATGAACATAATTTTTATACTGAATCTATAATACAGTGTTACCATTTCCTTATATTCTTTGAATAAACTAACCATTTTTTTTAATATATTTTATATATTAGTTTCGTTATTAAGTTTGACTTCTAACTAATTCTTATATTCTTTATGAGTTTCTTCAAACCATGGTTATCGGATCGTAAACATATCTCGTATCGTTTCGTTCCACATCTCGTATTATATCCCACTGTAAGATATTTAACAAACTACTAAAATAGTATATATATATATATATATATATATATATAGATATATATATATATATATATATATATATATATATATATATATATATATAGAGAGAGAGAGAGAGAGAGAGAGGCGTACCCATGCCTATGGCTGGGGTGGCCCCCGCCCCCCCAAGATGTTTTTTTTAAGTTGTTTTTTTTTTTTTGGTATTTATGTATTAGTTAATACACTTTCGCCCCCCAAACTTTTAATTTTGTACACTTTAGTCCCCAAAAATAAAAAAAAAATTAGTCTCTTAAATTACCCCTATATTTCCGCCCCCAAGAAAACCCCATGGGTCCGCCCCTATATATATATTATAAAAATATTATAAACATGTATAATTTAATATTTTAAAATCAAACTACTCATTCCAAAATAGATATAAATTCAAGTTTCAACATCATATTAATCATAAAATAGGACAAACATCATAATTGTTCACCAAATAACATCATCTAAGAAGGTGTTTGGCTACCTTATAAGAAGTTAAAAAGATCTCATAAGATGTTTAAGAACTTATTAGTTCTTCCAATGCTTAAAATAAGCTTAGTCAAACGGTCCGAAGTTCAAATTGGAAAACCTAATTTCTAAAACTGAAATGCTAAATCTCACACTAATTTTTACCAAATCATGCACATAACTAAAAATATTTCTCTTTAAAATCTTCTCTTCTCCTTCCCCACCCTTCTTCTTTTTCCCTATGTTTTTCACAAAATCACACACTAAAAACGTCCTTAGCATTCCAAGTTCGAATTTCACAAAATTCGTTACATGTTCAAACTAAAATAAAGATAGAATTTGAGGAAAAAAATCGAATTGATATGAATTTGAATAATTAAAAAGGCTTAATAAAATTGAATAAATATTAAATAAAACGGAACTCATTTTTTATGATTATTCACGTAAAAAATTGATGAATTTTGAGTGACTTATGATAAATTCATTTTAGAGAGAATATGAGTAGAGATAGATTTTTTTTTTTTAATTTGTGTGGGATTTAATAAATCTTAATGTGGGATTTAGCGCCCACTTCTAAAAATACTCTATTACTCATAATTTTGAAGATCAATATCACTTAAGTCGTCCTCATCCACCAATTTTAGACAATTCCATTCAGCTTCATCATCATCAATCGCAAAACCAAGTCAAAAACGATATTGTGAGGATTGGTGAAGAAATTGAAGAGAAAAATATAAATTAAGGTTGGGATATTGAAAATATTTCTTCAAACCCGATACGATATCATATCTCGCGATATTTAGCGGTATTTATCAATAGCGATACATAACCCGAGTTGTATCGTTTTTATTAGACCATACCATATCGTGATATATATCGCGATATACCGCGAGATTAACTACCATGCTTCATACATTGAAAAACACAAGGTGACACGACGGGGTTTGCCCGGCGATTGTTCTCTGACGCTCAAGTAAAAAAACTATCACAATATAAACAAATAATATTAATTAATTGCCTAAGTAGTGTCTACCTTGTTATATGGCAGATGACACATATTTATATGTGGAGTTTGATGTGGTTTTCTTGTTAAAAAGCAATGTGGGATAAGAAACATTAGGTTTCTTCTCATAAGTTTATAAAAGTTTTTAATCAAGAGCCTTTGTTGGGCTTTTCTCTTTAATGATCGTCTTGAGCCTCTTGGGTTAAAGCTCAACTAGGCACATCATTAAGCTCCTCATTCTCATGTTGGGCCACGGGCCCGTGGGCCTGCCTGGGAGTAACTTGGAGATAGCTTGAAGACATAAAAATTTCCTTTGTCTTGGAGCTCCAAAGCAGGAGAAAAATTTGAAGTCGGCACATGCCTCGAGGAAGGCCAATTTGTTGTAGTGCAACAGTTAGGCGCCGAAATTATTAGAGGACACTGTGATATTACGATGGCCTAAGCTACGAGCCCCCCGACAAAATCCGGCTCTCGGTAGACACGGCCACGGGCCGGTTCAAACCGGTTCACGGTTCACATTTTCCGGAACCGGAACCGGCCCGTAGTATGGACGGTTCAGCGGGCCGGGTCGGCCCGCCGGTTCGGGCCGGTTCCGGGTCGGCCTGGAAATTTTGATTTTTTTTTTGATGAATAAGTAAATTAAAAGAAGTACTTTTATTAAATAGAAAAAGGAAAAGGAAATGAATGAAAAGTCAATTTAGAAGCACAAGTTTGAAATATTTGATGAATAAGTAAATTATAGGAAAAATTGGGGTGTGAGGGTATTTATAGGAAAAATTGGGGGGGAAAAAAATTCAAAAAAAAAGTAAATAACGGCCGGTTCGGGCCGGTTCACTAGCCGTTATTTGCTTTTTTTTTGAATTTTTTCTTTTTTTAAATCCGGGTGAACCGCCGGGCAAAAAAAAATCAAAAAAAAGCAAAATTGGGGTGTGAGGGTATTTATAGGAAAAATTGGGGGGAAAAAAAATTCAAAAAAAATAAATAACGGCCGGTTCACTAGTCGTTATTTGCTTTTTTTTTTGATTTTTTTTTTTTTTTTTTTTAATCCGGGTGAACCGCCAGGCCGGCCCGGCGGTTCACGGTTCACCATTTCACCATTTCTTAGA